TCATGATCTTGCTGTTTGAATGTGTTTACATGTTGATTGGATCACTGTTTTCTGGTTTACATTCGTGCGTAATTGATTGTGTGATCATCTGGATTATTGGAGAAGTGATTAATTGCTGAAAAGTGCTTTTGAGCTGCTGTTTTTTGCCTCTGATACAGTGTTAATCGGTTAACTAGTTGAAGTGCAAACTGGTTAATCGATTAACCAGTGCGATTTTTCAAATTTTCAAACATTTTTAACTGGTTAATCGGTTAACCATATGTGTTAACCGATTAACACTGAACTAGAATGTGTTGCTTGCTGTTTTTTGAGCTTGTTTTGGGTATCATTTCACTTTGAATCTTCATGGATCAGTATGATGCATTTGAGTGAGATGTTTTAGATATTATGTTGTTGTTCTTGATTGTTTAATCATGATTTCTTCGACACGCGTGTGCGATTTCCACTTGAATGCATACTTTTGTAGTTATTATTCAAAGTGATGAGTGTTCATATTTTTGCTTGCATTTAAGAGGTTGAGATGTGCTTGTGGTGGTTGCTGCCCCACACTTGTTTCCTCTCTCTTTTCTTTGTGTTGCATTTCATGTTTGCATCCTTTTCTTCCTTTTCATCTTGTGATTGATTTATCTTGTGTTTACTTGGTTTCCTTTGCCATGATCCCTTAGGATTCCTAGTCCCTTTGGGGAATAGGAGAGACATTAAGTGTTCAATCCAAGTATGCTAACATTAGGATAGATTTTCCCCTCTTAATCTCAATCTTAGGAGCATATTGCATGATAACATTAGGGTTGAGTTAGTGTCCCCTTAGTTGTGTCTTCTCTTCTTCTCATCTCAAAACTTCTTTAAAACATGTAATAAAGGATAATGATTATTGTACGCTAGGAGCCTTAAGAATTTGGGAAATGATGGTTGGGGGCCTCCTCTCATACCGTCTAGAGTGTTTAGCGTATGTCCTTTGGATGATATGCGACGCATTCGCCTCTAAGTCATAGTCTTTAGTGCAACATGAATTACAAACACAATTCAATTCACTTCTTCATAAAAGATTCAAAAACAAATATCAAATCTTTTTATCCCTCGGGATTAATTGAAAATCATTTTTCGAAAAGAGTGTTGTTAACTCTTGGTTCTACCGCAAACAAGTAACACCTAAGTCTCCAATGGTCGAGCAACAATACACCTAACTGCTAGAACTAAGGTTTAACTCTACTCGGTTAAATTACTTGAACCAATTTGTGGTCGTGTCAGCCCGAACTACATTTGCTCTGATTTCTCGTACCAGACGAGGATATGTAGGCACAAGACGGCAATGTCTTGGTGAGCAACCTTCCCCCACCTTCAGCTGTAGTTTTCTGAACTACGTTGACTCTGATTTTCCCATTGCACGAGGGAATACGTAGGCATAGAGCGGCGATACTCTATCGAGGTAATTAGATATTATAAAAGAATTAAAATTATAAACAATTTAAATGTTTCAATTATATTCTATTTATTCGTAATCTTGTTTATTTATCTATAGTAATAAAGACATTTGCATGTTTAGATATAGTAATAAGAAAATTGTTGAGCTATTTTTATAAAAAGAAAAAAATTGATTAAATTAAAAATCTATATTGAAAAGTTATTGAAAATGGAAGTTATTAAAATTAGGGTCAAATATGAAAATATGAAAAAATACGGACAAAAGTTATTGTAAACATGAAAAAATAGAGACCAAGTTTGATTATAAGAAAGGAATCATTTGTAAAATTTTAAAAATAAATTGAGACTAACGTGTAAATTGTTTTGAAACATATAGAGAACAAATTATATATTTTGAAAGACTTATAAGTAATGGTTTAAGATTAATGAATTTCTAATTTCTAATTTTTCTAGATACCAATAGATCAACGTACACAAAAAATAAAGTGCTCTAAAAAAGAGGACCATGGGGCATTGAGAACATACTAAGTTTTGCAGGAAGAAGACATTCAACTAAGATGAATGATTAAAAGAGAACCGTCAAATGACCGAACAAATAATACTCTAGCATATGTCCCTTTGGACATCTATCATGCATAATGAAAGTTCTAATCCCTCAAAATCTTAGAACCCACATATAAAAAGGAAACAAAATGAAAGATTTAGGTACACGTTATTTTTAACCTAAAATACTTTCTTCTACCTTGAATAATCACTTATTTGAGCCCTACAGTATTTGCAGGTACCACCCTCGACACCGAACAAGAAATTAAGTGGCCATGTGAAAAAGCAAAAGAATTAAACAATTTGGGATTTAAGCTTTGATACATCGAAAAAGTTAGATCAAGAAATGAGTTGGGGATTATTATGGACAAGGAGTGGAAGAAAATATTATGGATGTGAAAAGAGTATGAGATTGAATCATAGCCTTAAAATTTATAGTGGAATAAGACACCTTTGATATTATTAGTGCTTACACACCTTGGGTTGAGGTAGCATAACACCTTAAGATAAGATTTTAGGAGCATTTAGAAGGCCTACTTCTTGATATAACCCTAAGGAGAGAAGTTTTTTCTAGGAGGGGATCTTAATGTACATGTAGGGAGCATAACAAGAGGTTTTGAGAGCATGCATGTGTAGTTTGGTCTAGGAGAGGTGAATACGGAAGGGTAAATCCATATTGGAATTTTTGTCGGCTTTAGATCTTACTATAGAAAATACATGGTTCATAAAAAGAGGTGTACGTCTTATCACATATAAAATTGGAGTCACATGTTCTCAAATAGATTTCTTTCTTATCGGGAAGTCAAATAGAAAGATTTATTTGAACTGTAAAGTTATTCCAAGAGAGATCTTGACTATCCAACATAAAGTGTTGGTTATGAATGTAATAAATAAGGTGAAAGCAAAGATAAAAAGTCACGTGGGAGCGTCACAGATCAAGTGGGGTCATCTGAAGGGTGAAAAAGAAGAAGTGTTTCAACACAAGATCTTGGAGGAAGGGTTTGGACAACCATAAGAAAGTGCTAATGATATGTGGAATATGGTGGCCCAAGAGATAAGAAATATGGCTAAATAGACGTTGGGTGAATTAAGAGGTTTAGGACCTAGGGGTAAAAAGTCATAGTGGTGGAATGAAAGTGTCTAGAATAAAGTTAGAGTAAAAAAAATAATTGTTTTAAAGAAAGACCTATGTGTAAAAATGCTAAAACATGGAAAAAATACAAGAATGTTAAGAATGAGGCCAAGATTTTGACAGATTATGCCCATTTCTAGGAACGAAGAAGGAAGAGAAAAAAGAAAGAAAAAAAAAATATATATATATATATATATATATATATATATATATATATATATATATATATATATATATATATATATATATATATATATATATATATATATATATATATATATATATATATATGCTTTCTAAGAGAAGATAAAGAAAGACAAGAAATTTGGATCAAATGAAGTATGTTAAAGATGAAGAAGACAAAATCTTAGTTCAGGAAAAAGATATGAAGGATAGGTAGAAATGTATTTCTATAATTTATTTAATTAAGGATACGATATCTGACCGGACTCTAGCAGACTCGGCATTATAGAAGTGGATCGAAACTAAAATTATTATCGCTGGATTCCTACAAAAGTTTGATTTGGAATATTTTGAAGTGTTTGCACTTGTAGTTAGACATGAAACCATAAGATTGATTATTGTTATAGCTGCAAATAGGAATTGGCATCTGATACATTTAGATGTGAAATCAGTTTTTATAAATGGTCCATTACAACAACAAAAAAAAGTTTATGTGTTAAAACCTCCTAAATTTGTGATAGAGAACAAAGAAGGGAGATTTTACATTATAAAAAATAAAAAATAATGTGCATCAACTGAAATAAGAGCTTGAAAATTAAGAGGCACACCTGCTGAATAAACTATAAGCTGGATATTGGAAAATATATGAAGCACATTTTTAACAAATTCATGCCAGTCATTTGAATCTTTGCAGCTTCCTAGTATACCGATCATTTCAAATAAGGAGAAAAAACTGAATTAGAGAAAAATGAGCCCAAGAAGTTTTGGTGTTTTTAAATGAAAGGAATAGAACTCAACTCAACTCAAGTCGCGTGTTATAAAAGTAAGCAAATAACACTAACCTCAATACTTCACTTCCTCCGTTTCGTTCATCACTTCTTTCACAAAAACTACTAACCAGGTTTATTCCCTTTCTCCTTCTATTTTTCTTCTTGCATTATCAATCATATTTCTCTTCACTCGTTTATTCATTTTGCTTTCTTTTGTTATTGTCTGTATATATATATATATATATACTTGTCGTTCTTCTTAAAACCTCAACGATTAACAAAATAAATACTATTCATCAACGTTCTTTTTCTGTTAATGTTATCTTATATTATGTTATGCGCGTGATAATAACATAGATAGTCACTAACAAACGTTTATTTTTATTGATTTATTGCTTGTAAATTGTGTGTGTGTGTGTGTGTAATCAATCTTAATCTTCCTGTTCTTCATCTATCAATGTGCTTTTTGTTTTCTCTTTTCCTTATTCATTCTCAACATGCAATTAAGGGCTTTTCACTCTCATCATCTAGGGTTCATTCTCTTGTTTTCTTTGTACGTTTTCCCTAAATCATTGTTGAAATATATTTATTTATATTCAACCTGTCTCAACAATACTCACAGTGTTGAAGTCAGGGTTTTCATGTTCTAGCTCCTTTTCGCAATTTCGTACTCTAAGCTTTCTTCTATTTTAGGTTCCTTAGGGTTTATGAAATCTTAATTCTTTCAATCATTAGAGTTTATGATGCTTTGAAAAACCAGTGGCCTGTTAAATATCAGTAGTTTTCGGTTAATGCTGTCGGTTACTATTATTTTATGCCTAGTTATAACTCATTTTTGATATAAGCTCCTTCATGATTTTGTCTAATCTACATGTCCTATATCGCTTTTCTTTTTAACCCTTAATCTCAGTTTATACTTATCGGCTTTATTTTCCTATTTTTCTTGACAGATGGTGTCCTTAGACGAGAAAGAAGGCCCCAGTCCTAAAATAGGTCCTGACCACCAGGCAGAAATTTGTTCAGATTTAGACCAGCTTTCACTTCAAATCAATCCTGCTTATTTAGAAGAACATGTGTATGATGAATCACTTTCTCCTTCAATTTGTTTGCCCATCTCAGTCACATGGAGTGAAGCTGATGCAGAAAGTTTCGTACTTGGTTTGTTTATTTTTGGGAAGAATTTTACTCTGATAAGAATACTCTTAGAGAACAAAGGGATGGGAGAAATACTCTCATTTTACTATGGAAACTTTTACAAATCGGATGGATATCATAGATGGTCGGAGTGCAGGAAGTTAAAAGGGAGAAAGCATATCATAGCAAAGAGACTTTCTACCAAAATGAGGCAACATAAACTATTGTCTCGCTTGAATCCTCGTGTCTCTAAAGAATCACAAGACACATTGTCTCAGGTATTCAACTCTGCAATCTCATCTCTTCGTGTTTAATCCTCCATGCTACATGGAGCATATTGTTTCTTTAATGTTACATGTTCTGCGCATTTGATACAATGCTAACTGCGATGGAATTGCTGAGGAAATCATCTTTTTTTTATGATTTACCATGATGATTTGAAACCTCTATGTTCATTATCATTAGTATATATATCATGAGTTTCAGTCCTCACTTTGCTTATATTTATACTCAGGTTTCTATGTCATATATGAAGGGAAGAACTTCTCTAGAAAAATACATATCTTCTATGAAGTCTATTGTTGGACTTGGCGTTCTTGCAGAAGCAGTAGGTATTGGTAAGGAGAACGGAGTCATTACTCGGTTTGATTTGGAACCTAAGAAGAACAGTTGTGAGGAGTTTTCAGCACCAGGTTGCAAAGCTTTGTCTTCTCTTGGACCGGGTGATATAATACGATCTTTGACAGGAGGATGTCGGCTGAACAGAACCAGAAGTAATGAGCTTTTCTGGGAAGCTGTTTGGCCCCGCTTACTGGCAAGAGGTTGGCACTCTGAGCAACCAAAGTATCAAGATTATCTATTTTTTCTTATTCCCGGTGTGGAGAAGTTTTCCTGGAGAAAACATTTGAAAGGACAACATTACTTTGATTCTGTTAAGGATGTCTTGAGCAAAGTAGCAGCTGAACCAAGTATTATTGTGCTTGAAGAAGAAGAAGTTGAAGAAGGAGGATCAAACGAAGATGATTTCTCTGACGATCATCATCAATGTTACCTCAAGCCTCGATCTTCTACTTACAATAAAGATCATACAAGTTTGGCGCATAGCGAAAAACCATCAGATTTAAGGGAATTGAAATATGTTCCGTCTAATAAAGTGCATACAGTTGAGGTAGATGTTGATAGTAAAAGATATAAAGGGCACACATATAACAGGAGACTAAACCATAGCACGGATATGTTTAAAAGCATTACACAGAGGTCAACAAAGTTATCAGTTATTGATACCAATGGACTTCCTAAAAGAAAACTATTGAAGGTGAAACAAAAGAGATATCCGCCTGTTGAATTGAAAGATGCTTCTACAATGACTACCGGTCTTCTAAGCAAAAGTAATGGTGGCTCTTCAATTGATGATTCAACAAGGATGGTGGTATCTAAGATTCGGATATATGGCAGAAAGAAAACTGATAGTTGCATCGGTGTATCTAACAGTAGAGTCTTCAATAAAAAAGAACCACATGATAATGATTCAAACAAGATGGTTGAAAGCCATAAATATCAACGCGTCTGCATGTTTGATGATAGTCAAGTGAAGAGGATCATAAAGCATCACCAGTTCAACTGGAGAGTAAGATCAGGCGATTCTAATCATGACACCGTTCCTACTAAAAGGAGGAGATTGACTGCTTGTGTCAAGGCAGAGAATAACCACATCGTTCAGAATTTTTCAGGAGGTTTGGGATCGGCTAAATTAAGATTCTCTTGTTCTTCTAGCTTCCTAGATGCCAACCGAAATGTTTGTGATCCAATTTTCCACCAGCAGAATGGAAGTTCAACTGCTTCAACAGAAGACAGAAGTGTGGAAGAGAATAATAAAAAAAGCAGTGGCAATGAAAGTTTTCAATGCATGAGTGTTGAAATTGAGGAGCCTCTGAGAAGACCTTGTGATGAACAACAGGCTGATATAAATCCCAGGAGAGAGAGCAGTAGAAACAGCAAAACGACAGTGAAAGCATTGGAATCTATAACATATAGATTCTGGCAAAGCAAGAATGACATCCAGACACACACACCTATTTTCAATCCTTCCCGCAAGGCTCGTACAAGAGGCAAAACAAAGCCGCGTCGTCACTTTTTAGATCATTGGAATGCAGTTTCAGTACAAGAAGAAAAGCACTTGAAGGTATATGGCAGTGCTAGCTAAATGTCTGCATGCTTTGTTAAGCTAAAGAGTAGAGTTCAGTGGTGATAACAAAATGGTTTTGAATGTAGTGATATGTTTCTCCTTGCCTGACTTACAAATTGTATTCCAAGGCTGTAAGATGATTACGCATACTGTCATGTTTTATTTATTTTATTACTCAATGTCACCTATGTGACTTAATGTTAGAAATTTTTGTTTTAATGATATTCCTATAGTGATCAATGAATCTTATACATTACATGTTTACATGGTGGGTGCAATTGTATATGGTAGAATCATCATTCATAACCTTACATGAAAGGATAGTTCACATTTCCAACTTCTCTATTGTTAGAACAGAAGTGGAAGAAGTTCATATCTTATAGTCAAAGTAGCTCACATCTTCATACAGAGATTATAAATTGTGCATTCATATCATTGTCATGATCTTTATATATTTGTTACAGATTCATCACAGTTTAATTTCATTACCAATGCCCCACGTCCTGATAACTTTGAAAAGGTTAGTGATGTTGATTCAGCAAAAGAAGCATGGGAGATTCTTGAAAAGTCGTTTGGAGGGGCAGAGAAGGTGAAAGAGGTGAGGTTACAAACTCACAAGAGAACCTATGAGTTGCTTCAGATGGAAGACAACGAAAGCATTACAGATTTCTTCACCAGAGTTACAAAGTTGGTGAATCAAATCAAAGTATGTGGAGAAGCGCTGACGACGAAAGCAGTTGTCTCAAAAATCTTGAGATCGTTGGCTCCAAAATTCGACCACGTGGTAGTTGCCATAGAAGAGTCGAAAAATCTATCAGTGTTGACGAAGGAAGAGCTTCAAGGGACTCTTGAGTCTCATGAACAGAGGATGACTGAGAGAGCTGCAAGAAAGTCGAAAGATATGGCTTTGCAGGCGCAGACAAAAAAGGAAAGAAAAGGCAAAGGTAGCTGGAATGGCAACAAAGGAGGAAACCAATCGAATCAGAAGAAACCTTGGAACCAAGGCAACCAAAGAGGTGGTGCTGCAGGTAAAGGAAGAGGTGGTGGTCGAAAGACAGACATAAGCCACATTCAATGTTTCAATTGCCAGAAGTATGGTCATTATATTAGTGATTGTCCAGAAAGGAAGAGAAATCAAGAGACTGATGCAAAGCTGGCGAAACATGAAGAAGAAGAAACGTTGCTAATGGTCACAACAAAAGATGAAGAAAGATTCCAAGATCAGTGGTACTTGAACTCAGGATGCTCATCACACATGACTGGAAAGAAAGATTGGTTTGTCAACATGAAGCCCTCGTCGAAGAACACAGTGAAGTTTACAAATGACAACACTCTAGCAGCCGAAGGTGTTGGTGATGTTCTGATTATGAGGAAAGATGGCAAAAGGTCAACAATTTCCAATGTGTTGTACATACCAGGCATGAAGAGTAATTTGCTCAGTATAGGACAACTTATCGAAAAGAACTACAAGGTAGTTGTCGAAGACAAGATGATAAGAGTTCTCGACGCAGGTGGTAGATTAATCTTGAAGGCTCCAATGTCTCAGAATAGGACCTTCAAGATTGGACTCAATGTGATGGAGCACAGATGTCTAGCAACTGCAGCCAGCAGAGATGAGTGGTTATGGCATTTTCGACTAGGTCATCTCAACTTTAATGACATCAGAGAACTGAAGAGAAGAAATATGGTTTTAGGATTACCGGAAATCGACATTCCAAGTGAAGTCTGTGAGGAGTGTGTTCAGTCGAAACAACACAAGAATAGCTTCAGCAAGGATGCAGGAAGGAAGTCGAAGGCAATACTTGAAGTCATATACTCTGATGTATGTGGTCCAATCCAGGTGGATTCGATTGGTGGCAATAGATACTTTGTCACGTTTATAGATGATTACAGTCGAAAGCTGTGGACTTACCTCATTGTTGCACCCTAATTTTTGACCACGAGACCCCACCTCTTTCTGCGCATTTTCTTTTGTTATTTGATTTAATATTTAATATTTAGGTTTTTTGCGACTAACCAGCTCGTGCAAGTGCAGTGGTGTCCAGGTATAGATTCTTATAACCAAGCATCACAAGAACATGACTAATACATTCAAGCTCCAAGTTCACCACCCAAGAATTCAGGCTTAATTCAGTTTTTGCGAATGAATGAGCCTATCAGACTCAATTCAGAGATCTAAGAGTCATGACCAAATTACAAAGTCAATAAGTTTTGTGCCATTATACATATTCAGGAAAGCCATGCTAATTCTCGTCTTGGGTACCAACCTTCTCTACCTCATTATTTCTCGTGTTGGTGCTGAGGCACAAGAATGTTAGATTGGCATTTAAAATTGGGAGAGCCAAGGTAAAAAAATTGATGAGAGAAGATAACCATAGCATGTTACAGTTACACGGTAATTACGAAGAGTTTCCAGTTATTACACTACCTGCATGGAGCATCTCAAGGGAAGAACAAATTAAAGTAATTGCCAGATTAATTGGATCGAAGAATCATGCCACCATGTTCAACCGAAATTCCTAAGTGACACCCGCATGCTTACGGCGGGTACTGATTCTATATTGCAAGCAAATGAGTAAAAGCCATACATTTATTGATGTTCAATTTGCAACGGAGATCTGAATAAGCATTAACATCTAAAAAAAAACAATACTTTATACATGTTACACCATAACTATTACAGGCAGAGTTTAATTCAAGAGGGTGGAACAATATTTTCTATTCAAAGACCTAAATCCATCACGAAGTCGGCAGAACTATCAATCTCGATCCAATAATGAGTGTGCCTTCACTACACCACCACAATGAAAGCAAGGACGTAGACAAGTAACAGGATGAAGGAAGTTGTCCGAGGAACCGTTGTGCACTTCGACACCTGCAGTAGGGACCTCAGCCGGGGAAAGATTAAATAGGAGCAATGCTGCCCAGACAATCCCGTTAGGCCTCACAAGCAGAACGAACATGGTGTAAATGGCCAGTGGATGTCACGCTTAAGTCGGTATGGCTGCAACAGAAGATAGCAGGGTCATTTGTTAGTGTTTAGCAGTGAGGCATTTCAGCAGCATATCAGAATGTATTCTTGTCGTAAACTAATACATCAATTTCCTAAGTCGGGGACGTACCTCTCTTTCTGCTTCAAGCCTAGCCAAGATCTCTCCCAATAGAGGTGGCGCGCAAGCTGCAAAGGAACATAATAAAATCGTCACAAAACACACAAACATATTTCACAAAAAAAGCAGATCAGTACCATACGCAGAGACATCCTTCACAGCATACAAGTAGACAGAGGCATTTCACAATATAAAAAAAAACCTCACACCAATTACACGCTGCACTTTTCAAGAGCAAAACACATACATATCAGTATCACACACACGCAGCATAAAGAAAAGCAACAATGCACCATAAGTTTTGAAGCAACACATGATACAGGGGGCGAAGAAAAACCACAAGCACACGTATTCGCATTGATTACCATACATCACAAACATTAGCAGTAAGAAAGTATCGTAGAGCAGCAGAAGAACACAGAAGAAGCGATACAACCTTAACAACAACAATAACACAGGAGAAGAGTTTAAGAACAACAACCAGACCACTACCTTCTTCATGTGATAGTTACCGTTTGAAACGTTGGACTGAAACTATAGAAAACCAAAGCAAATTCAGTTAAACAACGCAAGTATAGTGGATTACGCCATGGACAGTCACAAAATACCCTACACAAGTTAAGATTCCAGCAAGAGGTTACCTGCTCAAGCCTCTTGGTGTTGGTTGGATAACAAGTCCAATGAAGATTAGTGAGATAACAGACATCCAAGCTGTTGGTAGCGAAATCACCCTATCTCGCCAAGCCTTCAAAACCAACTCAATCTCAATGCCTGCAAAAGAAGAAGTCTGTTCAGACCAATTAATTACCGCAAATCGGGACGCGATGCACAGTTAACTTACCTTCAAATAAGACAGTAAAGCCACATCGTTCATATGTTGTCGCCAATGTCTGAACCTACAATTTATAGTAATCAAGCTTCAGACAAAGATTATGGCACCAAGTTAAATTTAAGCCCCAAAGCAATGACCCTTCAGAACTCACGCACCATGCTCCTACTGTAAAACGCATGAAGAGGAGCTACGATGGAATCAGTAGCTCTTAGTCGAATGCACCATTACCCGCATTTGTGAAAACCCGCAAATCGATGCAACCAGTGTTTCCCCCTGAGATAACACAAGAATCTGTTGAAAACCAAAACAGGGCAATAATGTTTATCAAACACAATCAAGCTTTTTCAAATTAAGATTCATGCTCAAGAGTAGAGATAGCCACATTACTTTATTCCCCAACAGACACGTCAAACCTGAGCTTCTCCACTTTGGGCTTCTCAATCACCTTCTGGCCCAGAACAACCGCTAACTACACCTGCCAATATCCCAATCTCCAAGTCAACAAAATCATCTGAAGAATATTCCCAATAAGAAAGAGAATATCCAAGCCAAATCTTTGGAACATTGAACCTGGACGATATTAAACAAATTGATTCAAGATATCCCAAGTTGAAATTTTCATTAACAGACATCATTGCAAATCAAACGAAATAGGAATGCTTTCCAAATCGAGATCACCCAAAAAAAGGAAATCCCAATCCACAATCAATCAGCAATTAACAATCCATTCAAGTCATTCTCAACCTGAAGCCTATATAAGGAGGAACCAAGGCAGAAGAAGGACACCGAAAATATACTACCGAAAAAACTACCACCAAGTACTATCACAAAAAAAACCTAACATTCGTAACTCGAGTTTTTGAGTAAGGAACTTATCTTTCGCCGCCGAAGCCCCAAACTCACGAAGCATCTTTCGTCGCCTCCGCTACCCTTTGGTAAGGTCTCGTTCCTTCACGACCATCATCGAACCTATTAATCTGTTTATTATGTTGCAGGTGTAAGAAAAAGAAGAAGGAATCCATTGGGAGAGACGCGATCGGAGACGATCCATGAAGAGAGAAGCGAGGTTGAGAGGG